GAGCATTGAAGTCTCCCACTATTATCATCTTGGGGTCTATCTGCACTTGTAAGTCCAATAATGTTTATTTAATGAGATGGGTGTGCCAAAGTTTGGTGCATATAAGTTAATAACTGTTATTTCTTCTTGATGAATTGTTCCCTTTATTAGGACAAAGAAGTGTCCTTCTTTGTTTCTTCTGACTAATTTTGGTTTGGTGTTTACTTTATCAGATATATGTATAGCTATTCCTGCTTGTTTCAGGGGCCCATTGGCTTGGAAATTTTTTTTCAACCCTTTCACCATGAGCCAGTGTTTGTCTTTGTCAGTAAGATACACTTCTTGTACACAACACATTGCTGGGTCTTGGTTTTTAATCTAAATCACATTCTGTGTTATTTGATTAGAGAATTGAGACCATTACCATTCAATGTTAATATTGTTAATATTGAATATCCTGTCATTTTGTTGTTTTGTGATATTTGCTTGTTTTCTAACCCTCATTTTCTAGTCTACTTGTCTAGTGGGATTTAGTTTTTCCTTGCATTTTCCTGGTTACATTTCTCTTTCTCTTTTGTATGTAGTATTCCTTTGAGTATCTTCTGCAACATTCGTTTAGTGGCCATGAATTCCTTTAGTTTTTTTTTTTTTTTTTTTTTTTACTGTGGAAGGATTTTATTTCTCTTTCAATTATGAAAGATAGATTTGCTAGATACCCTAATCTAGGTTGACAGTTACTTTCCCTCAGGGTTTGCTTTTAGAATGTCTGTTGAAAAATTTGCTACTATTCTGATGGGTTTGCCCATCAGGAGTGATTCTTTTCTGGTGCTTCATGTTGTTTTGTTCTGAAAGACTCCTATACCTGGATATTTTGCTGAATATGTTTTCTATGCCTTTGGCTTGTATCTCTTCTCCTTCTATACCTATGATTCATAGATTTGATCTTTTGATCATGTCCCAGGGGCCTTGCATATTCCATTCATATTTTCTTAGTGTTTTGTCTTTGTCTTTGTCTCAGTGACCTAATTCTTCTATTTTATCTTTGATCGTTAATACTGTATTTTTAACTTGTCCCATTTGAGTACTGAAGCTTTCCATTGAAATTTTAATTGGGTTATTGAGCTTTTCATTTCCAGTACTTCTATGATTTTTTTTTCACGATTTTCATATCTTTATTGAATTCCTTCTTTACTCCTCCTCCACTTTCTGTATTGTCTTCCTCATTTCATTCAGTTGGTTTTTCTTAAGGCTCTTTGATTTCTTTCAGCTGTTTATTTTTATCTTCTTGGATTTCATTAAGGTGCTTAAACATGTCCTCTTTAATTTCATTGATCATTCTTATCATTATTTTTTTGTTTGAAATTTCAGCCACTTCACTGTTGTTTAAGTCATTTATTGTGGAGTTGACACTTTGGAGTCAACATGAAAAATGATTTCTTTCATTTTACTTGTGTTTCTATGTTGACCTTTATGCATCTGAGGTTAAGTTATTGGTTGGAAGTTTGAATCACCTGTATTCTTTCAGCAAAAATAGTCTTAATATTCAGATGAGACAGTATAGTGGCTTGGTAGAGGTGCCAGTTCTCACCACTGGACTGAGAGTTGTGTCTCAATAACCAAGTCTTTGCCAAGTGCTCAGGGCACTGGGCCTAATCCCCAGAACTAACTGAAGTCTTTTGTAAAAGAGGTGGCTGCCCATTTCTGTTTGCCTTCACTATACAGGCTCTCCTTCTTTGTGTACCTAGAGCTACTGTTGGCTGCAGGGAGCTTCTGGGTCAGGCAGGTTCACACTTGTTCTATGCACCCTGGTTTGTATCCCCAGGGGGAAAGTGCAAGTGTCATGCCTTGGTGTGACTCCTGAATGCAACAGAATGTGGAGGGATTAGTTCTTCCCAAGCTGTGGGGAGAATTGAGGGGCATGGTCAGTCTTTCTGTGGTTTAAATGCTTACATACCCAGTCCAGCAGTTCACTTCTCTTTGTGGAGGGGAGGCAGTGGAAGTATCATGATTTGGAGTCTGGTTTGGGGTCCTCAGTCCTGTCAGGATATCCACCAGGATGCAGTTTTCAGGAGCAGGTCTCTGTGACTTTGGCCCTTCCTAACCATTCAACTCTCTGTAGAGTGTAAGAGGCTGTGGGTATTACTGATTCATGATTTGGAGGGTGCAAAGAGCAGGGCTCTGACCCACTGAGCAGTCTACAGTTGCAGTTAGAAGGCAGACCCTGTATGCTAAATACTTTGCCAACCACAGGTTCAAACTTTTTGCCACCTAGCCTCAGGAAATGCGAGTCATTCCTGACCAGGAAGGGTGGGAATTCTGACAACAAAATCCTGCTGCTGAGGGCTTCCCAGGGCATTGCTGCCCACCCTTGACTGCCTAAGGCCACCTCCACCACGTGTCTAAGCTGCTGTTGCACTAGCACTGGTGCCTACCTAGCCTACCAGCTCCACAGCTTCAGGCATCTAAGACTTCTCTGCCGGTAGCCTATGCTGCTGGCATCTAAGCTGCTGACAGAGTTCCTTGCAGCTCAGACTTCTCTGAGAGCCTGTCAGACACTCCTTCTTCCTGACCACCTCTCCTGGCTGTCTCCTACCTAGACTCTATGGTAGGGTGTCCCAAGACTGCCTGAGCCATGTTTCTTATTTTCAGGCCTCCAGAGTATTTCAGCCCAGAACACTAGGCCCTCTCACAAGATGGTGGCTTGCTATTGCCCTCTGAGATAAGGGGAGTGACTGAGTGTCTTTCTTCATCAAGGCTAGCCTTCCACACTGGAGCAGTCACTGTCTCACAAATCCCCACACTGGGATTAAGGTTTGTGGGATGTGTGTTCTCATTTCACAGCTAGAATTAGCAGTCTTTCTCCTAGGCTGTCTGTTTTACTTTGTGATGGAGTCTTCAGCTTCCCTCCCCCCCACTGGAAGCTAAGGAATAAGCTTGGAACTTCTTGCTGTTTTTTAGTTTTCTTTTCTGTTTGCTGTGGTTTTCTGCCTTCCTGCTACCTTTTTCATGGTTCCAGATGCTCTTCCTCCCTTTCTCTCTTCAGAATCTAGCTTCTCCTGTGTCACCTCATTCAGAGTAATCCTCCATCTTCCCCCACCAATACTTGAAGAGATTTTTTAAACAGTTCTTTCCATTTGATCTGAATTTCCAAAGCAGGAACCAAATAATACTGCTCTGATTTGTCTGTCTGTCTGTCTTTCTGTATGTCTCTCTGACTAAAATGTCAGTTCTGTGGTGGCTAGGATTTTGTTCTATTCACTGCTGTATCCTGAAACAATGCCTGGCACCTAATAGATTCTTAATAAATATGTTGAATAGATGTATTAATTTATGAATGAGTCTGTTTGATCTAACCTCATCTAAACATTTATTTTAAAAAAGATTATATGAGAAAGGCATATTGCATTTTTTATAAAACAGAATACAGAGTTATATTCACGGTTTCCACTTATAAAAGAATCTCAAACATTTGCATGCATTCATTTATTCATTCCTCAAAAGAAAAATTATTAAACATCTCCTGTGTGTGTCCATTCTTTGCGAAGGTGTTTTTAATGCAGTTTAGTTTTATAGGAAGATGGATCATGAAACTAAAGTAAAATGAGATCCTTCTTCTCACTGCTTTCTAGCCATATTGGTCTTCTTTCAATTTCTCAAAGTTAATAAGCTCTTTCCTTTGCATATTTTGCTGTTTTCACAGTGCTGCTTATTTTATGAAACTCGTAGTTATATATTTATTTGGATGATTTCCTGCCTAATATCCATCTCTGTATGTTTTAAGTTTTGTAAGCAGGGACCATGATACTATTTTAATTATCAACACTTAACTTGATGTCCAATATATGGGAGGTATTTAAGCATTTCTTGAGTGAATGTGTGAGTGATTAGGTAAAGTACATAGAAGGAACATTTTGTCTAATCTAGTGGAACTTAGGGAAGGTTTCCCTGAGGAAGCGAACAATGAAGAGGAATTAGTGAAGAAGATCAGACAGTGTATGTGGAACTGAAGCTCAAACTTTACCTAAAACAGTAAAAGCATTTATTTTGGGGGGGTTGTTGTTGTTGTTTAAAAAAAGGACTATCAGACTTGTACTTTTATGTGGACTGTTTTTTAGTGTTGTTGGGGACTGGATTGGCAGTAATGGTCCAGAGGGAATGACTAGTTTAGTAGTAATAATAGGTGGTAGGAGGCCTCACTTAGTTCCTGAGAAATGGAGAAAGAGAAGTGGGTGTGTGAGAGATTTTTAGAAGACATAGTAATTGGGGGAGTGAGAAAGAGGGTAAGATTCTGAGGTCTTCTTTAGTCAACTGAGAGAATCCTGGGACCTTTGATAGAGACTGGAAACACAGAGGGAAGAACAATCTGAGGAGAAGAAGCATGAGATACTCTTGAGACCTATTTAAATTTAGACTGAACATTATAAACTTGCTTATATAGCTGAATTTATGTAAAAGAAAAAAAATGCCTGAAAAGAAATAATCAAAATGTTAATAGTACTGGGATGCTAGTTATAGTTAAAATGTTTCCCTATCAGTGCTTTATTTTTATTATTAATGTTTTATTTTTATGAAAGGAAAATAATAAGCTTGACAAATATATTAACATAAGAAATACTTTCAAAACAAAATATAAAGCAAAAACTGTAAGAGTCAAAATCTAAGACCTTCTTAGACAAAATGTAACCTGTACCCAGTAAAAATTAATGATTTGTCCTGACTAGAAGGCCATTGTGAAATGGGTTCACCATTAGTGTGTGATTGCAAACACATTAATAGGGATCTGGAAATTTAAGCTTATCAGTCAAAGAAGATCTGCCAGACAGTGGCATTATGTCATTTATTCATCCATGTATCCTTAGCCTTCAGCACAGTCCCTGGTACTTAGTGATAATTCAAGTGATAGCTATTATTATAAATTTACTATTAACATTTTGTTTACTATTGTTTGCTGTTATAATTTTGTTTACTATTGTTATGGTCACTGTAATTGTTATACAATGACATTATTTATGTCATCTTTGTTGTTTAGGTCGATTGGGGTCAGCTGGACTACCTAGTTGTTGACATGCCCCCAGGAACAGGAGATGTGCAATTATCAGTTTCACAGAATATTCCCATTTCAGGTAAATCTTAAAATTTTGAACTAACTTAAGTCTTCTTTGAAGAAAACAAATTTCATGACAGGCAAGCATTTCTGTCTCAAAAAGTAACGTATTAAGTTGGCATGGTGGTACAGTCCTAAGGCAAGGGTGTCCTGAGTTTGAAGCCAGCCTGAGCTACACAGGAGAGTCTGTCTCAAAAAAAAAAAAAAATTATAAGCTTTTCATTAGAGACCAGAAGCATATATTGAATTTTTCAAAATATTAATGGAATGAGTTTGTTTACATAAACATAAAGACACTTTGAAAAGATGGTGATATAAATTTGAGTTGTAGAAAAGCAGTATTTAAGTAGGACATGGCTGTTTGGTTGGTTGCTATTAGCACCTTCAGCACCATATGTGGCAGGCATCTAGGAAATATTTGTGAATTAATAGTGAATTATGTAAGTATTAGAAAAATTGGCTTTTTGGTTAATACCATTAGGGAAGAATTTTATATTCTGGTACTTATTTAATGTTAAAACCAAGAGAGCATCACCCTGTACTAGTATCAACTCAAAGTGGATCAAGGACCTTAATATCAGACCCAAAACTCTGAAGTTAGTATAGGAAAGAGTAGGAAACACTCTGGAAGCAATAGGTATAGGAAGGACTTCCTCAGTAGAACTCCAGCCACCCAGCAACTAAGAGAAAGGATAGACAAATGGAACTACATGAAATTAAAAAGCTTCTGCACAACAAAAGAAATGGTCTCTAAATTGAAGAGACCACCTACAGAGTGGGAGAAAATATTTGCTAGCTATTCATCAGAGGACTGATAACCAGAATATACAGGAAGCTCAAAAAACTAAACTCCCCAAAAATCAGTGAACAAATAAAGAAGTGGGCAACTGAACTAAACAGAACTTTTTCAAAGGAAGAAGTCCAAATGGCCAAAAAACACATGAAAAAATGCTCACCATCCCTGGCCATAAAGGAAATACAAATCAAAACCAAACTAAGATTCCACCTTACTCCTGTTAGAATAGCTATCATCAAGACCACCAACAACAACAAGTGTTGGTGAAGCTACAGGGGAAAAAGGACTCCTCATATGAATGTAAGCTAGTACAACCACTTTGGAAAACAATTTGGAGGCTTCTTAAAAAACTAAACATAGATCTACCATATCATCCAGCAATACTACTCCTAGGGATATACCCAAAGGAACGTGACTCAGGTTACTACAAAGGCACCTGCACACCCATGTTTATTGCAGCACTATTCATAGTAGCCAAGCTATGAAAACAGCCAAGATACCCCAGTACTACCAAATGAATTAGGAAAATATGGTGTTTACATACAATGGAATTTTATTCAGCCACAAAGAAGAATGAAATTTTGTCATTTGCAAATAAATGGATGGAACTGTACAACATCATCTTAAGCGAAGTTAGCCAGGCTCAAAAGGCCAAAAATCACATGTTCTCCTTCATATGTGGATTATAGACTTAAAACAAATTAGTAATGTTATTGGATAGACATCATACACTAAGGAAAGAACACACATGGGAGCTATAGGGAATAGAGAAAGGGAAGGAAACCTAAAACTTTAATGTGGTTGATGTGCTCACTGTAGAGGAGCAAATATAGTAATCTTAAACTGGCACAGGCCACTATGGGAAGGGGACTAGGAAGTAGTGAAGAGATCTGGTAGAGATGTAACCAACGTGTTTCTATACACATGTGCACGGAAGCAATGCTAGGAATCTCTCTGTATAGCTTTATCTCAAACTAGCAAAAACACTATGTCTTTCTTATTATCTCTTATGTTTTCTCTGGAAGCAGGGGCTCAGGGGGGAGCAATGTATACACATGTGAGTTAGCGACATAAAAACGATAAAATAAAAAAAAGCAATAAACAAAATAGCTTCTATCAAATACACAGTGCTTTGATGCAGTAGTAGATATCTTTTTTATGATATGGAATTTAAATGTTAGTTGTCACCCTTTATAGTGAATCCTCTTCTAAGGATTTTCCTAAATTTCACTGGAGAAATAGTTGCATGTGTGTATATGTATACTTCTGAGAAGATAATGAAATTTTTAAATTCTTTGCAAATCAATTTTTTATTGGTTATCGAAGTCATTTCATTGACATTTAATTATCAAAAGATTTAGAATGTAGGTTTTTGGTGCGATATGAATGTTATTTGGAAATCCGTGTTAGGCTGATTAATATGAATATTTTTATTGTTTTAATTATATTTGTTACCTTGGTGGAGTCTGAGATGTTTTCTTTGGTGAAGCAGGCTATGAAGTATGAGATGAGAGTAAAGTAGCATGAAAACCTTTCTTTTGGTAAGCATTATACTATAATAGCCTGCAGTTTTGAAATATTTTATATTCTTAAATTTTAAGAATACTTGCTTAATGTTCATTAAATAAAATGTGCTACCTTGAAATGCATGTTATCAACCTCCAAAATGCTTTTATTATACATATGGGTCATTCATTGATAACAGTGGACCAAATGATCATTTATGTACTGAGTAGTGACTTGATTACTTGATGCCTTGATAAAATTCAATGTACCTCACACAGATAAAATGATGTCTCTAAGAAATATTTTTCTTACTTTTTTTTCACATAACAACCTATCTGATTGGACAAGGTTTATGATTAAGTTGTCCTATTTTAATTTGTATTTGTACCTCAAAACCAACAATGTATATCAGTTGGGTTAAAATTTTGCTTTCCTCTCCTTTTTTATATCCTAAAAGTTTCTTTTACCCTAAAATTTAGCTAGGATATTTCTTCATTTCTTTCCTGTGATGAAGTTTGCCCTGTAACAGGTGATTACTATTACATGAGAATAAGACACAGAATTTTGTTTCGCTGTGCTAGTAAAATATATGCAATAGTTTAGTGGTATTAGCTACATTCACATTGTTGTACAACCATTACCATCATTCATCTCCAGAACTTTCACCCATCCAAATGGGAACTATTCACTAAAAAGTAAAGCTCTATTCCCTCTTCTTATTAAGTATAAGGTGCTATATTTTCTTAAATCTTAAATCTTGGTAGTTTAAGTAACTTTCTCAAGGTCACACCATTACAATGAGTCATGACTAAGGTTCACCTCGCTTCTGATTGAATGTCTACATCAAGGTGCCCCAATATATAACCTAATAATGTTTGACACAGATTTGCTGAGTTCAGCCTTAGTCCATTCAAACCCAGTTAGGTTGAAATTAATCTAATCTCAGTAATTCCCTAGTAAAAATTAATTTACCTATAAATATTCCTAAACCTCTGAACCTCTATAAGCTGAATATCAACCAAAGGTGCTCAAAATTGAGCCAGCTCCCAGGATTTAGGGAGAATGGCATCTTCCAAAGTGTTGCTGGCCTGGGTGAATCATGGCTTTCATAAATTTACATAATCTGGAACAGCCTGTCAGGGTCATGTTTGCCTTTCAAGGTCAACTAAATTATCCTTTATCTAATTATAATCCTAGTTTTCCTTTCCTCTATTATCATAGACTTTTGAACTCTTTTTAGATATTCTGTCTTCTACTTTTTCTTATGTTTGATAGCCCATAAATAACATAAGTGCTTTAGACTCCCATTTAAGGACCTCTGTGATTTGACTTCCTGTTCTTTCCTACTAAACTCTTACACACAAAGTGAGAGCCCTCCAAAAAAGTACTGTGTACCAATCCCACCTCCCACTTTCTTCCTTTTACTTTTGCTGACCTTACACACATTTGAGCCTGTTCCTTAGACTATCTTTTCTCCCAATCAATGGGTAGCCAAATCCTCCATAACATTTAAAAGTTGTCTATTCCTGCTATCTCCCAAAAACACCCAGTTAGGAGTCACTCTTTATTTGGGCCACTCCTCCTGTACTTATGATGTTCTTCTTTCAAACCTGCATACCTGTGTTGTCCTCTCTACCACACTGCTGCTGTGTTATTTATCTTTGTGTTTCCCACAGTACCAAACTCGTTGCCTCCCTGCAACTACTCAGGAAATACGTGATCGGAGAATGAGTGCTTTATCTGTGTATATTGTCTTTCCAACTGGGCTGTAAGCTGCTTCAATGTAAAAATTTTTTTTCTATTCATTCTACTGTCTCTTAGAGTACCATGGCCAAGAGCTTATGCAATTAATTTTGAATGAATGAATAAACAAATGACAAAGCTAGGCCAACTAACTAGTAATCACTGTTTATGGAAAAGATGTCTTCCTTCTTGTCTTACCATCCTGCTAACTCATTCCTATGATCCCCTCACCCTGACTGCTTTCACCCAAGTGCTTTTTCTATGTATATACAGGAGAAAAAGAAAGTACTTATTTAAAACATGCATTTTTCTTTACTTCCCCTCTGAGGGAAAAGTACTTTCATTTTAGGTATTTATTTATACTGTCTTTTTGGATGTACTGCATATAACTGTTGTCAGTTGATATCTTTTAGTGTTCCCTTTTCAGTCTGGGATGATAGTGTGGGGTAGAAGGGTTTTCTATTTAGTTACATGCAAGATCTGTATTAAATTTCTAATGAGAGTCACTAGCATAGTTTTTGTTGTCAAATAAGAAGTTCCCTTACTTGCAGTGACCAGGGTGCTAACTACCTCTCTTATTCTGTTCTTATTTATCAAATATCTACATGCCCCAAAGAGTTGTAAGAATCAAATGAGATAAAGTAAAAGTTCCATCTAAATGTGTGGTATTTATTTTTAAGAAACTACTTGAGCATTTTAAAAAAGCTCCCCCCAAAAGATTCATGTGTTGAAGGCTTAGTCCTCAGCTATTAGCACTTTTAGGAGGTAACTGGATCATAAAGCTGCTAATTTCATCAGTGGGTTAATCCGTTGATGAGTTCATAGATGAATGAGCTATTAGAAAATGAGGTCTTCTTAGATGAAGTAGGTTACTCGGATCATGCCTTGGAAGGGTGTACCTCGTCCCAGACCATTCTTCTCTGCTTCCTGGCCACCATGGCAGCATTGCCCCTCCACACCATTCTGCTTTACCA